CTAAGCCATCTCAAAACTCACTGCCATCCAGTTGTTGTCAACTCTTGGTGACCCTAATAGGGCAGGGTAGAACCGCCCCTGTGAATTTTCAAGACTGTAACTTTTTTTTATATCGTTTTATTAGGGGCTCATACAGCTCATCACAATCCATAGATACAGCGATTGTGTAAAGCACATTTGTGCATTCATTGCCCTCATCATTCTCAAAACATTTGCTCTCCACCTAAGCCCCTGGAACTGGAACTCTTTACAGGAGTAAAATACCTCATCTTTCTCCCACTACGCCATCTGTGTCAATCCTCCTTTTTGCTATCTGTCCACTTACCACGCATGTTGTCCCCAGGAGTATTCTGGCTGTACTTCTTCCAAGACGGATATTTTGGTTCTTTTAGCAGTCCATGGTATTTTAAATATTTTTCACCAGCACCATAATTCAAATACATAGATTTTTCTTTGGTCTTATTCAGTGTGCAACTTTCATGTGCATATGAAGCTATTGAAAGTACCATGGCTAGGGTCAGGTGCGCCTGAGTCCTTAAAAGTAACATCCCATTCTCATGATGTTACCTCTTTGTCCAGGTGTGAGGATTTGGGATTTCTTTTTTCTTTCTCTCTCTTTTTTTTTTTTCAGTTCAGCATGTTGGTTTCCTCTTTATTGATGTGCCTATCTCCCCCCATACAATTTTAGTCCCTTCCATCTACCTCCCAAATAGAAGGCAGTGAAAGGCATTGTTGGGGTTCTGGGCCCCTTGGGTAGTTAGAAAGGGAGCAGAAACCGAAAGCAATCACTGGATGTAAGACTGACAGCCAAGAAGTCTGAAGTGGGGTGGGAGAGGTGGCAGAGAAGGGTGAAGAGGAAGACAGGGAGAGCTGCTCGGGACCATGTCCACCATTTCTGCTCCTGCTAGGAAGGGCTGGAGAGAAAGCCGCAGGCATGAAGTAGTACAGGTCCTGAAGAAGGGAGGTGGTATTTGAGCCTGAAGGAGGGATGGGTCAAGAAAGGGGGGCTACCTTTCTCTTTGCAGAATGGAACACCCCCAGCTCCAGGGTAGCAGCTTCACAGACCATAGACACTCTCGTCACTGTAGGCACTGTATAGAAAGAAGTCTTCTTCATGGTGTTCCTGGTATAGCTGACCCATTGTGGCACTGGTGGGCGGAATGACATTGTCGACAAAGAAAAATAAGGCATCTTCAGCTCAGAGATGAATTCGCTTCCGGATCAAGAAGTAGAGTTGTCCAACTGTGAGAGCAGATGGTACCAGGTATTTCTTTTTGTCCAGATCACCTATCCGAGCTTTGGGCGCCTTTTCTGCTATCACCGGGACCCGGTCCGGATATTTTTTTTCAGATCTACTTGCCCTCAGCGCGGTGCTTCTCGAACTGATGCTTCTCTTTATACAAGAAATTCATCCCTCCCAGGAACTGTGCTGGACCGGGTGGGGCTGAGGGAACTGGGTGCCGGCCCTGACTCGCAGGCGGATCTTTACATTGAATTATAATCCATATTAAAGGCTACAATCTTTGATCTTCATACGCAAGTGCTTCCAAGTCCTCACTTTTAAGCAAGGTTGTGTCTTCTGCATATCACAGGTTAATAAGCCTCCCTCCAATCCTTATGCCACATTTTTCTTCATATAATCTAACTTCTCTAATTATTCACTCAGCACACACATTAAATAAGTATGGTGAGAGGATGCAACCCTGATGCACACCATTCCTGATTTTTAACCATGCAGTATTTTTTGCACAACTGCTTCTTGATCCTTGTACAAGTTCCAAATGAGCACAATGAAGTGTTCTGGAATTCTCTCTCTTCTCAAGGATATCCATAATTTGTCATAGGGAACTATATACTTAAAAAGACAAAATACATGGTAATAATTCTATAAGGAAGGCAGTGGTCCAAGGGAAACTTAGAGGAAGGTGACTCAAGTCTGAAAGGGCGAGGTGGCCACAAGTAGGCAGGGAGAGGGGAAAGGAACTAGGTAAGGGTATTAAAGAGATCGCTGTACTTGAACTGACTTTTGAAGAAGTTAAGATTGCTAACTTAATTATTTTGAGAGGGCCAGGGGCAGGCCAGAATGCTGAATTACAGCGAATGAAGGCGTGACACAGTGTAGTATTTCTGGGACTTGTAGTTCTGCCTGGTTCTAGTGTGCTGTCCGAAGCAGTGTCCATCTCAGCAGATGGGAGGTCAAGGAAGAAAGAGCTGAAACTTCCATTTGTATGTCTTTATTTAAACCTTTAAAAGATTCTACGTGGGGCTTTGGTCTTGTGATGTTTATAATAACACTACAAATATGATGTAGAAATAGTTTATATTATGTATTTTAATACTTAACCATGTGTCACCTACTTACCTACCCACCCACCTTCCGGTGTGTTTGTAAAGTAATGATGACAAAACTAGAGCTAAAACAACTGAAGTATGTTGTTTCAGTTTCCAAAGCCAGGTTAATTATACTAATGAATTTCATATTGAGCGTATGCCCTTATTATGAAGTTACACCTTATTTTGCTGATCATAAGCTTGAATTCAGTATATCCTGGTTAACATTTTCTTGATTTCTGAATTAAGTTGCAATAAAAAAATGGTACATGGAATGCATTAATGCAGAATGAACTGAAATATAGCTGAAGGCTATTTATGTAATTTTTTTAGTTGGCAGAATATTTCTTTTCTTTTTCTGGAGATAAAAGTACAAATGCTTCTTCACAATTTGAGCATTAAATGCTCAAACAATCTTTAGAGATTTCAAAATACAGGTAATAAGTGAAATAAAAATGACTTTATAGTTGACTGATTTTAATCTTCTAAATAGAATATTTGTTAGCTTTCTTATACTTAATGAAGATTCAAACTTTCAAATTAGCTAGAAATTTTAAAAGGGTGCCAAGTTCTCCCTTGTGGTCTAACTCCCTCTGAGGCTGTAATTCTATCTCTGCTTATCTAAAAATTTAAAAATTTTGGATCTTTGGTAGTAGAATTTAGTTCGTCTCTTTTTCAGAACTGTAGAATGTTGGGGTGTGATACTCCGTGCCATTCTGTTTATTATAGTTTCCCTTTTTTGAAATGTGTTATTAAAGGTTCAGAAACTATTCAAGTGCAGTTTTGAAAGGATGAAGGGTTTTAGTTACTAAAACATTTATGCAGTACTTTCTTATTCTAAGACTTAGGGGTTAAGGAAGCCAGTCCTTGATCTCAAGAAGCATAAAAGCAGGTAGGAAGGAACACAGACTGCTATGTCAGAAGGTAATAATATATGTGAAAACCATGTTTTTCAATCTTGCCCTGTAGTCAGAATACCAGAACACTTTATTTGCAGAGCATTTGATATTTTCCCTGAGTGATACTAAAGCCTTAGATTATGGGAGGAAGCCCTAAATGAAGAGATTTCTTATCTTACACCATGGTTTGTTTTCTCTATCAATTGGGAGAACATAATCACTTTGGGGTTTTTATAGTAAAGCTTGTCTCAGCTTCAGAAATAATAGTGCTCTGAGGGAGTAGACTTTGAAAGTGAGTGTAATGAGCTTTTAGAACAGGCTAGCATGCAGAGGCTGGTCAGGGACTGGGCAGGGGACAAGGAGCGCTTGATTTTATTCAAAAGGGCATAAACCTTTGTTCCAGGTAGGTTTTGAAGAGTGGTGTGAAGTATTCGTAGGTAGAACCAAGTTAATTTGAATAATTACTTAACTGTTCTGTGCCGGGTAGTATGTAAAACCTAGTAGATATAATGATAAACAGTTAATAAGACATTATCTGGTACTTCAAGGTGGTAGATAAACAGAGAAACACTCAAGTAAAGGTATGGAGCCAGGTGACCAGAGTATTTGGGGTCACTAAAAGGGCCATGGTGGTGCAGTGATCAACCACTAGACTGCAAATCAAAAGATGGGTAGGTTGAATCCACCAATTGTTCCAAGGGAGAAAGTTGTGGCAATCTACTTCCATACAGTTTACAGCCTTGGATTCCCTATGGGACATTTCTACTCTATGGACTGGAATCAACTCCCAGGGAGTTTGGGTTTGGGTGAATTTATACCTGGTGGTCAGAGTGTAGGTGGGGAAGGCCCTGTAGTAACAGGTGAGCCTACAGCGATAGGCCTGGGCCAAATATCAAGAGTCTTAAATGCTTGCTGAGGAATTAGTCTAGACAGTATAGCTCTATCACAGGTTTTAATGAAGGGAGTGCTGTGACATATTTTGAGACTTGAAGGCTAAAAATGTAAGGAGAGAAAATGAAGCTAAAAGTTAATACCAGGACCTGTAGAACTAGAAAGGTGGGAGTAGATGAACAAAAGGTGGGGTGCAGAAGAGTGGGATGCCCAAAACTATTTTGAACAATTGAGGCTGGTGAGGAAAAGTGGCCGTGAGAGGTGGTGTGCATTTGAAGCTGCCCAGCTGAGAATTATCAGAAAGGGAGTTCTCTGGTGGAGTTGCAGAGTGAACAGTTACCCTGCAAAAGGGTACAGAAATGAGAACGGATTGATTGTCCTGGAGAGTCCAGGGGACCAAAGGCAGAACTTCGTGTGAGAGTTGACTGTCTTCAATCTGGAAAGAGAAGACTAGAAGGATTTTGAGTGTGTGTGTGTGTAGTTCATTGTATTGTTGGGCATAGGTCAGGCAGAGCACAGGGTTACCGATGCCTTCATACTACAGGGTTTGCAGCTTGTCCAAGGTGCTGTGATTGGGTTTATTTGACTCCAGAACCATCTTGGGTCAGGTAGTTCTCAGCTACCAGGCCCTCAAACTCTATCAGCATTAAGCTTGATGCCACTTCACTTCTTAAAAAGATTTGGATCTTCTGGTGCCTCAAGGTCACTGCATGAGGCCTCCGGCACATGCTCCTTGTTAGGAAGGTTGGTGCTGATGGACACGAGAACTTGGCCAATTTGGACCCTAGCCACAGTGCCTTGTGGTTTTCTAGAGTCACCTCACACCCCAGTCTGTAGCCTGTCAGCCCCAGCACAGGACAGCATCGTGATGTGGATGACATGGAAGGGGTGGAGCCACCTTCTGATGCAGAAGCCATCTTTGGCACAACTTTCACCATGGACTTGTTAGCACAGTTGCAACAGCCTGAAATGAGGAGAGCTGCTTGTCTTCTTCCTGTATCCCGTGACCACAGAGTGTGAACTCATCCACCTTCTTCGTACTGAGGTCAATGATGGGCACCTTGGTATCAGGGACAGCTCAGCAGAAGTAAATCACTGAGCTTGTCTTCCAAAGTGCCTCTGGGTGGGTTTGAACCTTCAACCTTAAGGCTGGTATGGTAGTACAGTGCTTAACCATTTGTGCCATTGTGGCATTCTTAAAATACAAGGATAAGTCAAAAAGTATTGTGCTAACGTTTCAATTCATTCTTGCATAGGCTTATTCCAAACAAAATGTGTTTGAGCCTGTGTCTGCGATGAGCTGGTGTCTGCGATAAGTTCTGCAGCCAAATTCTCTCAGTAAAACGCTTGTCCTACTCATGTAGGTGCCAGTAAAATTCACAGCCGAGAGGTCAGCTCTGAAGGTTATGGCAGCTGTTTTTTGGGCTCCCTGATGGGGGATCATCTTGATCAGTTTTCTTGAAGGACACAGAACAATCATGGGACTTACTATGAAGGTTTGAGAAAAGGGAAAACTGCTGGTGAGGTAAAGGCCAGGAGAGTGGCACCAAAGAGTTTGCTTTCATCATGACAGTGTGAAGCTGTTTTCTGTTCCAACTTTTATTGTGAATTAAATGGGGTTTACATACCAGACTGATGTTTTTGTAATTCAACAACTTAAACAGCTTATCAGACCTGTCAGTGACTTGCCTGTGTCCCACTCCTCAACTTCACCCCGCCCTCCTCCACTCCATCTTCCTCTTACCTTCCCCTTCACCCAAGGTAGTAGCTGTTACTGCCGTGGAAGGAGGATGGATGGGAATTTGGGTGGGGGAGGTAGGCATATGTGGAAGGTTTAAAAGTAATTATTGATTTCATTTCTTCAGTTGGGCTGTGTAAGTATATATACTATGTTTCTTTAAAAAAAATCTTCAAGATTACTTAACCCTCAAACCTAAATAGAGGTCTGAGAGGCTTTAAGAAAGGAGAAAAAGTAAAACTGAAATTGACTTAAAGTCTTTAGTAAGAAGTTCATCTCAAAAAAAAAAAAATAATCCTGTCTACCCTCTGGCTAATTATTTCCTCCCTTTTCCTCTCACCCCTGCTAACCATCAAAGTTTATTTCTTTTTGTTTGAAATCTTTTCTTGATTTTCTTTTTCAAATAGCAGTAGCCCTTTTATGTTTGACTAACTTTATTCAGCCTGTTGTCTTCCAGATCCATTCAGATCGTGAGCTGTTGCATCACTGTTCTTTAATGATGCCTGGTGTTCCATTGTGTGTATGTTTCAAGTTTGTTTATCTACTCTTCTACCAATCGGCATTTAGATTGTTTCCATCGTCTTGCTATTGAATAGTGCTACCATGAACATGAGTGTGCATATATTTGTGCTACATTCTTTATTTTTGTAAGATATTTACCGAATAGCACTGTTGCTGGGTCATGTGGTATTTCTTTTCCTAGTTGTCTGCAATAGTGCCATACTGCTTTCCACAGTGGTTGAACTGTTTCACAGTCCCACCAGCAGTGAATGGGGGTTCCAGTCTCTCTCTCCCTCCTTCAGCATTTGTTGTCCTTTGCTTTTTTGAACTTTGCTGTCAATTCTGGACCAAGGTGGTATCATTATTTTAATTTGCATCTTCCAGGTGGCTAGTGATTGAAAGAATTTCTTCATGTTTGTTGACCACCTGAATTCTGCCTGTGGTGAACTGTCAGTTCATTTCCTCTGCCTATATTTCATTTGGGTTATCTGTTTCTTGTTGAGATGTGGAAGTTTTCTATAGGCTTTAGAGACTGATTCCTTGTGTGATAGTCATTGCCTCCAATGTTTTCCCCGTCTATGGGTGAAATCTTTTGATGAATATATTTCTTATTTTTAGGGACCCAGTCATCTATTCCAACTTTTTCTGTGTGTTTTTTCCCTTATGTTTGATAATGCTCTTATGTATTGGGGGCTCTAAGTTACCCTATTTTTTTCATTGTCTATCTCTAGTTCTAGGGTTTACATTTAGGGCTTTAGTCTATCTTGAGTTCATTTTTGTATATAGAGCGAGGTATGGATCCTGATTCATTCTTCTACAAATGGAAATTCAATTTTGCCAACATCATTTGTGGAAGAGACTAGCTCTTCCTCATTTAGTGTGATTTGATCCTTTGCCTAAAAATTGGTTGCCTGTAGGTAAGTGGGTTTATTTCTGGGTTTTCTGTTCTGTTCCATTGGTCTATGTATTGCTTGTTGTATTAGGTACCAGGCTCTTTGAATACAGGAGCTTTGCAGTAGGTTTTGAGATCGGTGTTTTAGAAGTTTTCTACTTTGTTATTCTTTAGTAGTGCCTTGCTTATCCTGAATCTCTTCCCATGTAATGTTGGTGTGTTAGTCTGCGTTGACTGGAGAAACAAATCCAGGGACATTTCTGTGTGCAAGAGAGAGTTTTATATCAAAGTGTAATTGTATATTAAGAAAACAGCCCAGTGCAGATCAGCCCAGTGCAGATCAAGTTCATAAGTCCAATATTCGCCCATATGCCCCGTACCGGTCTATAAATTCCTCTTCAGACTCAACACAACACATGCATTGATGAATGCAGGAACATCACAGGCCTGTGGGTGGATCCAGTGACTGTGGAAGCATCTCTGGGGCTCTTGCTGGCAACAGTGTGGTTCCATGTGGCTTATCAACAGGAAGGTGAAGCAGAGAAAGTGTGTGTCCTGCCTCCAGGGAGGAAGACAGGAGTTCCCAGAATCCTCAGGAGAAGGCCATCCCCACACAGAGGCCTCATTAGCTATGACATGATTGACAGGCTAGACTCCATCCTTCTCTCAAGTTGACAGGAGATTATGTAACTGCCACCGTTGATTATTTTTCTCATCTTTTAAAAGAATGATGTGGAGTCTGAATTAGAATTGAATTATATATTTTTTGAATTATATTTATAGATAACTTTAGATAATATTGACAATTGTCACAGTATCTTTCTGTCCATGAGCATGGCACAGTCTTCCAATTTACGTAGATCTTTTTTGGTTTCTTGTAATAGTGTTTTGTAGTTTTCTTTGTACAAATCTTCTGTTTCATCTTTTGGGTTCCTATTGTAAATGGTATTGCTTTCTTGGTTTCCCTTTCAGTCACTCTTTAGCATACAAAAAAAAAAAAGTTCAGTGATACCCAATCGATTCTGACTCATAGCAAACTTATAGGACAGGATAGAACTGCCCTGTGGGTTCTGAGACTAACTCTTTACAGGAGTAGAAAACGTCATCTTTCTCCCTCAGAGTGGCTGCTGGTTTCAAACTACTAACCTTGTGGTTAACAACAGCCCAATGTATAACCACTATACCCCGGGTTCCTCTTCATTAGTACACAGAGATCCAGTTGATATTTGAATGGTCATCTTGTACCTGCTACATTTCTGAATCTTTCAATCATTCTAATGGTTTTCTTATTTAGTCTTTGGGGTTTCCCATGTGTAGGATCATATCATCTGCAAATAGACTTACTTCTTTGCCAATTTGAATGCCTTTGATTTCTTTTTGTTGTCTAATAGCTCAACCTAAGACTTCCAGAGTAGTGATAAAAAGGCATTCTTGTCTGGTTCCCATTCCCAAGAGAAATACGTTCAGTTTCTCCCCATTGATTTACTCAGTTTATGAGAGTAGCAGATTTCAGTTTGTCATACAGCTAGCTCTATTTTAGTTTTCACATCTTCTCTAGATTTTCTCAATAAATTATTATTGTCCAGAGCAAATAATGACCATTTTCATCCCAAGGAACTTATATAATAATCTGAATCTTTAAGATTCATGTTAAATCGGGGAGGATGAGGAAAAAAAGAAAAGCTGATAAAAGAGGGCTCAAGTAGAAAATGTTTTGAAAATGGTGATGGCAACATATGTACAAATGTGCTTGGTACAATTGATGTATGAATTATTATAAGAGCTGTAAGAGCCCCCAATAAAATGATTGATTAAAAATTAAAAAGAAAAACCTGCTAAATCACTTGAGGTTCCTTTTCTTTTTAATTGGACAAGGGGTAGTATTATCTATCACCAAGCCCTTTGTTATATCATCTCCCACCTGAGACCTGGGAATGTTCCAGAATTAATTGCCCTTAAAAATCAGGATTTTCAATATACACACTTTTAAGCAAGACTAAGGAAACCCAATAAAATGTTAGTGGTGGTTAATACTAAGTGATGCGATCCTGAATATTTTTCACTTTTGAAAAAAAAGTCTGTACTTGAGATTTTCTACAATAAACATTTTATAGTAAAACCTTTCTATTGGAGGAAAATTAAATTTTAGATAATTTAACAAGTTGAGTAAACTGTATGGGTAAAAGTCTGGGTAAAGAATACATCTCTCCAAGGCAATAAGACAGTGTGGAAAGTTGTAACTCTGGGGAGTAGAACATAGGTCAATTTTCCCTTCTACTTGGATAATTGTTAATTTTTATCCAGACAACATATTAACTTTGTTTTTGTTTTGCAATACCTTTCAAGCCTGAAGGGCTCAGAATATCTTTCGTACTTCAAGAACTTGCTAGTTAAAGCTTTTGAGTCTAGCTATGATAGTACTTTAAGAAAAAAACTTTTCAGTAACTTCTTTCACACCTTTGTAAATGTTATGTCTTGAAATTTGCATCTGTTCATAAACATAAGCATATTACCAAAAAAAAATTTTTAAAGGATGGGTAGTGAGACTGCAGATTGAAATAACCAGTTGAAGGTAAATTGGCTGAACTATTACTATACTTGCTAAGTACTGTACTATGACTGCTCTTCTGGGCGAATTTAAGTCTTCTAAACTGGATTCAATGAAAAACATTGCTGAGATACGTCTGAGTTGTTATTTAGCACATGAAGTATTACGCAGTCATCTCTTGTAAAAGGATAGCTCCTTCCCTCAGGCACATCTCATTTGCTAGAAACATTTTTCTTCAAAATAAGAAAATTTTCATTTACTACAGTAGTAGTTTGGGTTTGCAAAAGCTCTGAGGGGTTACAACTGACTTTATTTTACAATCTAATGCAGCCGAGAAACATGTGCCGTGTGTTCTCAGCTTTTTGAGGTAGATCTCTAAAGAAAAGTCTCTCTCACAAAATGTGGAATATTCTTAAGGCATTTCATGTGTTCTGTTTCTAAAATTGCTTTTCAGCTTTAATGGTAGATCACCTAACATATGGTAAAGTACACTAAAATTCTGCCAATTCTTAGTGAATTATGGGCTTTTCTCAACATATTCCCTAAAGGTTACAGTCTGCTACTTTCTGCCCTGATAGAGAAAAATAGAGCATCTGAAAATTTTTACATAAGAAATGGCTTTCCATAGAAGCAGTTCTACGTAGTTTGTGTCCACATTATACCACAAGACCCAATTTTTAACATATTTTGCTAAAAATGGAGGTTTATCTTTACGGAATGATAAGATGGTTTTATCAAGACAGAAAAATTTCAAGATTTTATGGGGGTATTGATGTCCTCCAAGTTTGAAATAGAGAAAGTCCTTTTTGAAAGAAGTCTCTCACAGTATTGGATTTGAATAGTAAAACTATATTGCATGCCAGGTATTTGCAAACTTTTATTTGTGGTTTCATTTTCTATTTTCATTAAGTATTAAAAGGAAAAATCATGATATTAATTTTTTTAAAGGAAGATATATTAGAAAATAAATAAAATTGAAGACATGTTTTATACTTGTCTTGATTATTTGTGCTTGAGTCAAAGCAGGTTTAAATGTGGTTCTCTTCCCATGTGGCACCTCATTTCTTGACTCCTCAGGTTCTTTGATGCAACCTTATCTGCAAGCTAACCTTATCTAGAGTAGCGCCCTGTCCCCCTAACCACTGTATTATTATTATTATTTGCACTTAACTGCTGCCTAGCATTGCAATGTGGACTAGGCCTTGGCCTGCTAACTACAAGGTCAGCAGCACCAACCCACTCAGTCCACTGGAGAAAGATGAGGCCATCTACTTCCATAACCGATTTACCGTCTTGGAAACCCTAACACTGGGAGTTGGGATTGATTTGATGTAAATGGGCTTGAATTTTGCGTGATACCGTCATATGACTTGTTAAGGTGACATCAAGTGAATTTCAACTCACAGTGATCCCTAGAGTAGGACATCCCCATAGAATTTTTTAGGTTGTGATATTTACACAAGAATGGAATGTCATATCTTTCCTTTGAAATCTCTGGGTGGCTAGGTTTGGACTGCCAATCTTGGTTGCTAGCTGAGTGCTTGAACCATTTCACCAACAACGTTCCTTATAATC